TTCTGAAACAATAAAAGCTGATCTTCTTTTGAAAAATTATAAAGATATATTGAATGTGTTTATTTATTTATTTTATTTGAAATTTTTTGTTATTGAAAAGAAATTTAAAAATATTGAAAAAATTAATTCAATTTTACTTGAAATAAAAGTACTAGTGGATGATGTTGCTCTTATGTCAAATAAATTTTTATAAATTGAGTATAAAGAATAATTTATAATTTGAAAAACAGTTAAATTTTAAAAATTGTAAATTAGTTTTAATAAAATAAACTATTTAAATAATGAAAAAATTTTTATCAGATTTGTTTTTCAAACGGTTATAATCTATTTTAAATAGCTCTTGTGGTTATTTTAAATAAAACGTTTTTTGTGAATAATTTTTTTTTCATTTATGTTTTAAAAAAGAATGTTTTTAATATAGTTTAATAAACAATATAACCAAATACTAACATTATTTTGATTAATTATACGGGTTACAGTATTATTGTTGACACAATAAATTATATCAATAAAAAAATATTAAAAAATGATATAAAAAGATAATTTTTTTAAATCAAAAAATGATTATCGTAACCGAGGTTACTTACAATTGACACCTATCATTTTATTAGTTCTTAAAACAAATGTTTTAAGTTCTCTTTTTTGGGTATATAAACAAAATATCCTAATAGGGGATATGAAAATGAGAAGTAAATTCATTTACAAACATTTTAAACTTTCTAAATCTACTAGCCGTGTGGGGCACGACATCTTGAATTCAAGCAGTTATCGTACACTAAATACAAACCTAACAACTAACGATACAATAATAGCAAATTGCTATTCTGCTACAAACTATGCAACAAACAACACTGACTCAACCAAGAAGACAACCGAAACAGTTAAATTTAAAGGAAAAATACCAGGATTTAAGTCAGATGAACAACCATTCTTCGAAATCAAAATTTTAAACAACCTAAGTCCTAGTTCTGTATCTAAATTGCTCGATACCTTCGCACACTTACGCTCAAGCTGTGCTTGGAATGAAGACCAATCAAAGCATATTATGAGTAGCATTACTACACCAGATATTTTTAGAACTATCGCTTCGGAGCCTGACATCGAATCAATGATCCAATCCCTTAAAAGTTCAGTTTTTCCTTTAACACATTACCCTTTTCATAGAGAAAAATTAGAAAATATTAAATATTTCTATTTTAAGAAAATCAAAGAATATTTAAATAAGTTTTTAGAATATTTAAATAACGCTAACATGTGTTTACCAGAAAATGAAAAAATACTAAA